ATAAAACAAACACTAAAACTTGAAATCCTATGAAACTTTCAGCATGCATAGAGGAACTCAACTTACATAGCCTGTGAATATTTTAAGCCTTATCCTATTTCATTTCGTTGAGATATTACAAAGACACGAGGAAAAAACGTGATTCCGTCACGCTTGGACAAGCCGATCGAAGACGAATTAAACCAATTTCTTCTTCTCTACCAAAATTAGTCTCCGTAGTTGTAGAATTTTTATTTTCTAATTTTTGACGAAAAATTGTAACATTTTTTACGTAATCATATAATTGATTTTCTTTTAGAATTTTAATAAGATCATGTTTATCTCATGATCTATCAAGATTGTGCAGTTTAATAACATATTCATCTTCTTTCTTCTTCTTTGTTTCATCTTTCTTTTGTTGAATTCGTTCAGATAATCTTACTTTACCACAACCGATTATTCCTGTTTGTCCATTCATTTCTTCGATTGCTTGTTTTAGTTCTGTAATATCTAAAAGCTCAACGAATGCTACTAATTTACCATTAGATATCTTATCGTCAAATATTATTGTATCACGTTGAAACGATTTGTAGCGATTAAATATCGATTTGATATCATCTGCAGCAGAATCGGGCTTTCTAATGATTTTCCCTTTTCTACCGCGTAAAACCTGCACATCGATAATACCGCTGCAAGCTTGAAAACTATTGCGTATATCTTCCTCGTCGAAATCTTTTGAAAATCCTTGGAATAGAACGGACCCTGTACCATTCCATTTACTTTGTGCAAGTGTTATTAACGTATTGTTCGCCAATCTGACAGCGTCTTGTGCTTACTGAAGTCTGCCAAAATTAATAAAAGCTTTTCCACTATTTTCACTAAGATAGTAGATAACTTTCATCGTAGGCACATCAGTTGAGCGCTCATAAAAGCATTTCAACGGCAGCCTTTTAAACAACTCGTATACATCTAGAGCACTTTTTTCTTGTCTAAAAGTAATCCTTCCACTTCCAGTTGATTGTGTTAGATACCATATAGCTTTGAGACGACAATTTTGTTTGCCTGTGGTTGCTTCAGTTTTCAAACATGAATCACTAACAGCGATTTCGCGACCCTGTTCAATATAACCGTTCAATTCACTGAAAGCGAGACGTGCTTGTTCGACTGTTGAATATGTCACTGCTACACATGAGCTGTTTTCATTGTGTCGGATAAAATCAATTTTACGAACTAAAATAATTAGAATACAAGTAGACAAAATGATTTTTACATGACTTCTAGTATTTTAAGTATCCTATAATGCGAAATACATTCGAGCTGCTGTTCGCTATCACACGAGATTGGTTTGTTAGGCCTATTTTACAACCAATTTCTTCACCATCATGCCATTTAATCGTTTAGGAATGCAGTTAAAAAACTATTTCACATATTAGAGTGAGATATTATTAAAATAGCTTATGATCGTATATCTACATCTGCCATGGCCTGTTGAGGGTAAAGATATTGAACTAGTCTTGCATACTTACTCTGCCCAAATGGTTCACATAAATCTCGAATTCTCTCTTCCGTTATTGTTGTCGGCAATTTAGTCATTATGATTCTAATATAATCACTTCCAAGAAGAACCATTTGAGTAATACCTCCGGCACCCATTAAAATGCGAGTTCTTCCTATAATGTGTATTTCTTCAGCTTCTACGAGCAATTGTTGTTTTTCTTTCTGAATTATTTCTTCAACGATTTTCTTCGCTTTTTCCAAATTAACTTTACGTGACCATATTATTAATCTTGATTGTTTATAATCGACATCAATAACCGCTTGAGTTGTATCTTCAAGCTTATTCAAATTACAATTTCGTTTACCAACAATAGCTCGTAGTAGAGTTGCGCCGATATTTTCGAATACACAGGGTTCATAAGAAATTGCATGTAAATTATCTCTATTCACAGTAGTAAACCATGGTCGGAACACAGATTTTAGCCAGTGGAAATTACTCGAAGATAAAATTGTAATATAGTTAGTTCCATTGAGATTTAGTAATTCATTAAAGAAAACATATTTAGGCATTTGATCATTTAAACATAATGAGGATGTACGAAATACACGTGCTACTACTGGATCATTAGACATTTTAGAGAAAGCAGAAATAATTTGATAGTCAGCTCTAAATGGTCCATTTGATATAGCTAAATTCATAAAATGACCAGCTGTTACACCTTGTAGAATGCGACCAATGGTATCTTCATTTAATTCTTCCCTATCACAAAGTTCTATTTCATGGTCCATTTGCTTGGCTTTTTCTCGGATAAAATTTTGAGCCAGTTGTAATGATTTTCCATTAAGAGAGTTATTCTTACACCATGTATTTTGTTGTTTTTTATTTTTATTATTGACACAAAATGTACTCCATTTTAAATAAACACTTATCAATGTTATATGATCGCCACTTTCATGACTAAATTCAGTACGTGCTCGTGTAGCCATGTCCTTCGATTCCTGATCTTTACTACTCCACCAGACATTCTGTAATACAATTAGCATACCTGCTAGAATTAATGCGTACGATAGGCAGTTAAGTTCTTGTCCCTTATATAATATTGCGATTAATTTTGGATCAATATCAAGACGAGCCATATTTCGACCAAGCTATGTCAATCTACCTTGTGAATCCAGTGCATTCAGCCAAAGCAGAATTTGATAGGCTTCATGTAAACTAGAAGCAGGTGGAGATTGAAGCCATTCAAATGATTCGATATTATCAATATTCAAATGCTTTAGTTTCAATATGGCAACTGTTGGCTGAGTACAGAGAATTTCTGCACGCGAACAAGCATCCATCGCTTCATAAGTTTCCATCGTATATAAATGATAGCACTGGAAAGATTAGTAAAAGATTTAAGCATAATTCCTGTTGGACCATGGCACGTAGGTGTTCATTGACGTGACGAGTAGATGTCGATATCGATGTTATGAACACCTAAACTCACTCAATTATGAGAAGCTAAGTCTCTCTACAGATCTTTGAAAACCTTGGTAAATTATATACATGCTTCAAAAATCTTGCCAGAAAGGGATGACTGAATTACTACCGATTTGGGTGTGGGTGTGGATGTAGGTATGGGTGGGTGTGTGTCGTGTGGGTGTGGGTGGGTGTGTGTCGTGTGG